ATTATTTGTGTGTGTGTGTGTGTGTGTGTGTGTGTGTGTGTGTGTGTGTGTGTGTGTGTGTGTGTGTGGTACACAATTTAATATTATATTACAAATATTGAAGTCTTAAAAATTTTACAGAATATAATAAATAGCATTAGATTTTATAAAACAAATTAATAATTTATGTTAAATTATTTGTGTCAAATTAAAATTAAATATGTCCGTAGATATTAAATATCTACGGACATTTAATATTTAATATATTATTGCAATATTTGAAGCATATAAGCAAACATTTTGTAATTTGATATAATTATGTTTTGACAATGTATTTGTATTTTCAAATAATGTATATTACAATAATAAATTTTTTAAGCATTAATTCCGATTTTATCTCTAATCCAATTTTGAAGAATTATGATATCGGTATAGACATCAGGCGAATCCTTTTCAGCACAACTGTCTCCCCATGAAGTTATACCAAGTAGAAAATTATCAGCATTAACTAATAGTCCTCCAGAATCACCCTATTTATATGAATAATAACATATAGTAAATGTAAATAGCAATAACATAGTAAAAACGATTTATAACAATTACACAACATAAAAATAATATTGTAACATTTATTATGATTGGGAAAAATATTTATATAACACAATATATTATCTTTAAGTAATATTGCATTTATAAATGTATATTTTATATTTATATAACACGCATAAGAAGTAACATCATCTTGACTAAATTTTGAAGATCTTTTGTGTGAAAATAAATAAAGTAAACAATAATTCGCTTTTTGCTCTTTATTATATACATTTTATACCTTATGAAAATTCTTTTTTTATTTTTCTTAATGATGCTCAGAAATTTCTAAATATACCGCTAAAGTTGAAAGGTCGCGCTATACTAGCGGACAGGTAGCAGCTGCAAATTTTGAACTAGAAGAAAAAAAAATTTTTGAAAATTACATTTACATTGCGATTTCTCGTCTGTCGAAATTTTATGATATAGCGTTGCTTATTGTCATTCGCATTTTTTTAAACAAAATCACTATTTCGACGAATGGGTAATCCATAATAAAGGAACAATTCGTCGTAAGTTTGCTCGTTAATTTTCCTTTTCTGCCAAATCCTTGAAAATTACATGTACATTAAATTTGCCAGGGAACTACGTAGGAAATTTTCGAAATTTTGATTTTTGTGAAAATAGCGAAGATTTTTCGAAAAACATTCGATTTTAATGGAAAAAGATTGTGCCTTTTTGTTTATAAAAAAGTTTTTAATTAATCGAAAAATCCCTACGTAGTTTCTTGAGATATGTTTTTTCGAAGATGCACACCAAATTTCAAGTTAATCAGTTAATATTTGATTGAGTTATATGTCCGCTAGTTCGGAAAAAAGTTTTGAAAAAATCGCGTTTAAAAGTTTAAGTAATTCTTTTTTGTTTATAAAAACGGTAAATTTAAATTTATCTCTAATCTATTTCTGCTATTTCTGCCCCATACAGTTGTCCTTCAAGAAGAGAATTTTCTTCATCCTCTTCTTTTTTAACAATTTGGGCCTAGATCGAGTCTCTTTAGCCATCTGTCAATGAGCGCTCCTATCGTTGTATGCGTTGCTCGTCTGCAGAAGTTATAGCAGTTAATGCCTATTTTAAGTCCTAATATTTGCATAATTTGCATTAAACTGCTCATCCCATCATTGTAAGTACAGGCGGATAAAAACACTGCAATATTCAAACTTTTTTCCCGCTTGAATGAGTTTTTGGCGCAAATGAACCAAACAATGGTATTAAAGTTTCA